CCACTGTACAGTTTATTTAAATGCTGTTGATATCTGTAAAAATAACATCCAATTCACAAAGAGAGAAGGAAGTCCCTCTCTGCCTGTGTCCGGTCAGCTGCTGGTTGGTCAATTCACGGTTGTGCACCCGCCAGCCGTCAAGTGCCAGTTGGTCCAACCACCAGCCAGGGCAGTTCTTGGCCTTGCCAATCCCCAACCCACCAAACTGCAGTCCAATTGTTGGGGTATCCAAACAATTGGGTGACAAGAATCATGCTAATTTTTTTCTAGAATTTGGTGAGCAGAATGGTATCTTACCACAGATTTTATTTTTCAAAATTTCAGGAATGTTAGGTTAGGTCGGTTTATGTTACGTTAGTTTAGGTTAGGTTAGGATATGTTAGGTTAGGTTAGGATATGTTAGGTTAGGTTGGGTTTGATGACTTTTTTCTTTTTGTAAACATTTTTATAAGATGAAATTTTGTAAAAAAAAAATATAATCTGTTGGAACAACCGGCACTTGATGGCTGGCAGGTGCACAACTGTGATTTGACTAACTGGCGGTTGACCGGTACCCTCTCTGCCATAGGTATTTTTTTTAATTAGCTGAATGGATGTGAAAGTTATGGGAAAAGTACCAAAGAATTTTTCTTGCATACATATTAGGGTTAGAAATATCTGTTTCCTGCAATTAAACCTCAAAAAGTCAATTTTCCTTAAATGTATTGGAAATTTTATCATGCAATGTCATCATGTTAATAATTCAGTGTCCATATGTCACCTTTTTATTATTGTTGGGGGTTCAACTGTATTAATTAAGAATAGCTTTGAATTGAACATGATCCCAATTATTTCCAAATCAGTGCAGAAAATTAGAATAAATTGCAATTTCTATAGATATAATTTTCCAATAAAAAAATAACAACCGGGATTTTCTTTGAGTTGTCAGGATCAATAATTCTGTAGCAATCTACTTTTTCCCCCCATCATATTCCCCATCGAATTCGCGAGGAACAGTTTGTATTCTTCGCGCACGTTCCTGTTCCGGAAACGTACGTGTTGATTCCACACCGACTCGGAAAACAAGACTCAATTGCAGCCAGAAAACGAACGAGAAAAAAGTATAAACGAAGATGAATAAAAGACGAAGTATCCATGACGATGTATAGAAGTATAAATAATAAGATGTGTGCGTGTCGATGATTGATTCAATCCAGGATTCCTCCTTTTCTTTTATCTTTCAGCATCAGGATATAATAGTTTTGCTTCCTGCTGGGAAATGTTCCCGCGAGGAACAAGTCAGGAATAAAACCGGTGCAAAGTCGGGTTTGGCTCAGGAAGCACATCATTCGGCGAAGAGCAAAAAAAAAATGAGGAGACGAAGAAAGAAAAGAGGAATGTGCACAGGATGGAACAGCAGCAGTTCTGCTGGAATGTGAATCTGGGTGTGCGGTTTTGGGACTCCACTCTAGTGTTCTTGTTGTGTGTGACCCGAAAAGTGTTCCTTTGTGTTTAGCAGTTCCCCGAAAGAGTGCTGAAATAGTGCCATTTTCATCACAGCGAGTGATGCGTGGAAAAATCCGCGGAATTGTGCTCTTGAAAAATTCCGTGGATTCTGAAAATTTTAGATGCCATATATTACGCGTGGGAATCAACATTTTTTTTTCCAGTTTTCTGCGCTTTGCAAAATTGCTCAATCAAGTTTAAAAAAATGCAAATACGGAATACCTTGGTTAGTGGACATTAAATTCTAGTGTCTTATTCAAAAGTGCAGTGAAACCCCCAAATGCAGACACCTTGACATGTGTACAATTCAGCATAGGGACACTTATTTTCCCATTAAAAAAATAATAAATAAGGCCAAACATGAAGACACTGACTCAACATATAAGGACATTTTGAGATGAAATTGCAAATAAGTTTCACGCCAAATTACAAGAAACAGATATTTCCAACCCTAAAATTGATGTAAGAAAAGTTCTTGGGCATTTCTCTTGCTAATTTACCATCCATTTAGCTAATTTAAAAAAGAAATACCTCAAGCATAGATGTGGGACTTCTGTCTCTCTTTTTCAATTGAATGTTGATTTTACAGAGAATGCCAACATTTCTATGTACCGTACAGAGGTATCAGTATTCAATTCCCCAAATGTCCATATTGTGTTGTAATATATTGATTGAATCAGTTTCAATTGGGAGACAATTTTTATTTTCATGGTATTATGGATAGTATTTTGCCCATAAAACATCAATTAAAAATTATATAATATAAGTATAAGGGAAACTGAGACTTGACTTGGGGCATTCCAACTTTGGGACACTCTTGATGCACCAATTATGTCCACATCTTGGGGTCTAACTGTATATAGTTCAAATGTTTACATTTAATAAAAGACCTTATTCAGAAAAGTTCCTTGTATACTCCAAGCTGTAGAACAAAATTATTGTCCTATATGCTTTGGAAATTTTAAATCAATATTCTCAAATTAGAAGCTGAATAATGAATTTTCACATAAAATATGAGGGTAGCAAGAAATCTTGAGCCCAATTGAAATAAGAGGATTGCCGCCATTTGTACCTTTATTTTACTTATGAAAATGAAAGATAATGAATTTTCCTAGATTTTATTCCCAAACAAACAGCTTATACAGTATCCACAAACAAAAATCTGTTATTGGGAGGATATTTATTAAAATACAGGAGATTTCACTGAAAGAAATTTGAAGAGACCAGAAAACAAACTTTGGAGGGCTGAACAATAAATGGAGGGATCATATTTCAATAGCAGATATTCACTTAATTCCTAAAATAATCTTTATGCATTTTTGAAAGAAAACCACGTTTGAAGAATTTTCATTCTTCTTCTTCAGCGTTTTTGGCAAATTTGAGATCCTTTGAACGAACCTGACGCAAATTTCATTCCAATTGCATCACTTTATTCAATCAAACTTGATTAAAGTTTGTGTACTTTTTCGGTCTAGCAAAAAATTGAACTGGAACGGAATGATGAAGTATTTCTTTTGCCTGAGGGGCATTTCTTGCGAATGAATCGTTTTAATTGTTGATGACGAATGAAGTCATCACGCAAATGTGCAATTTCTTGGAAATCTAAATCTTGTGCTGTTTTGGAAGCGTCTTACACTTGAAAGGAAGTCAAAGTTTATAAGATAACACGGTAAATGATTTTGGTCAGGTTTTGTAACGCATTTTTCTACTGTGTCGAAATTCAATGTGTCAAGCCAGAAAGATATTTCGGTGGGATAGACGCTACTTAATCTCAATCCAGATTTTGAGTTTTGTTTTATGCACAGCGTAGTTTAATACGCTCTTCAAGTGACGCATAAAAAAATGTATACGAAGTGTGCAATAAATTATAGATGAAGCCCAATGCTAAAAAAATTTATATCCTGTTCTGCTTTTGTGGAGTTGGAAGGAAATCAGTTACTTGATAATGAAGCTTCTACTGAATTAATTTTGATTGAATGATGAACTGTTCAATGGAGTAATAGAATGTGTCCATTATCTGAGACATTGATGCATGAGATGGAAACTCATTCCACATAGTTTCATATTTCTCAGGCAGGGGTTGTGTATGAGACATCTTCGATTTTCTGGAATGGATCCCCTTAATATTGAATAATCATGGACTTCTCCTCTGAATTGGTTCAATTACATTAACTGAGGCATCATTTTATATTATTTGATTGACCATTTCATGCAAATAGCTTTACATACTTGAGTCCACCTGAGGAGATCCTGGATTGTCTGGAATGATTTAAATTGATACATTACTCATGGACCTTCCTTTCATTGGTGTTTGGTCAAGTCCATTAACTGAGTCATCATGGTATGATATATCACTACCTCTTACACATAGATATAAATTCAATCCCAGTCAATAACGCAAGGATATCTTGAATTGCCTGGAATTAATCTACTGTACTTTACATGCCTCACTTGAAGACTTTTCCTTTGGGAATAGTTCAAGTACATTAACTGAGGCATCATTGTATTATTTGATTCAACATCCCATATATCTTCATGATTCACTCAAGTACTCCTGAGGTCATCTTGGATTGTCTGGAATGATTAAACATCAAGCAATATTCTCATGGACCTTGCTTCCATTATTGGGATTGGCAATTCAAGTTCATTAACTGAAGCATCATTGCTGTAAAATGTGATTAACCATGTCTCATCACAGCTTTATACACAGTATGTATTCTCAGTCAATGTGTGGATATCTTAGATTGTCTGGATTGAAGCTCCTACCTCACTCATAGACATTTCCTCTGGATGGATGCAATAAGTCCATTAACTGATGCATCATTGTATTATTTGATCAACCATCCCAAATAGCTGCAAATATTATTCAAGTCCACCTGGGGACATCTTGGATTGTCTGCAATGATTCAACTTCAGACTTTACTCATTGCCCCTTTCTTTCATCAACATTGGTCCAAGTCCATTAACTGAGACATTGCTGTATATGATATCATTACCAATTTCACATAGCTTTAAATTTATTTTCAGTCAATGTGAGGATATCTTGGCTTCACTGGAATTAATTACTCTTGCCCTTTTTTCCTCTGCTAGATTTATCCAAGTCCATTAACCGAGGCAGCATTGTCTCTCCCCTTAAAAAATATGACCCAGAGTGGGACAGGTTATGGCAGAATTCTGGGGGTCTGGTGTCCCAAAATGACAGCTGAATTAGAGGATCCCGTTATCTCCGCATGCTGCCACACACCACAGGTGAAAATCTCCGACCTTGCACTGGTTATTTTTGAACCGAACCCGGGTTCCCCTGGAACCCGGCCAGGTCTCCATCCTTATCTATATACACACTCTCCTCCTTCTGGTGGTGGCTTCAAAAAAATCCGGAAGACACGAGTCTCAAGCCAGGGGCTTGAACTGAACCCAACTTTGCGAGTGGATATCGTGTGTATATATGCGAACGAAAAATTATTTTTAAAAATGTTTAAATTGATATAAACTGTGAATGTTTTTAAAACGAAAATTTTGTTTGCTTGACAGGTGAAGCCGAATTTGTTTATTTATATCGAAGACGACGAGTGCCTTTTGTCGAGGAACCTCTTGACTTTTGGTTCGGTGTTGCGAGACTATATTCGTGTATAGTAGAGTTTTATTTTCCGTTTGTGCTCTGTGAGTGTGTGTGTGAATATATATCTTCGGGCTCTTTGCTGCTGTCATGGCGCAGACCTTCGTGATTCAATTGTCGAGAGCTGATGGGACGCCCTGGGGATTCCGGCTGCAAGGCGGCAAGGATTTCGGCGTCCCTCTGTCCATTCTCAAGGTCAGACTTCAAAGACGATTTGGTAACAATGAGGGAGTTGTTGTTCAAATGGTTTGAAAGACTCCTGGGGAACCATCTGTTAGTCTGCAGCCCAGGAGCTTACTTTTCTTCGCATAGGTGTCGCCTGAATTTAATGCACTGTCCATTTAGGTTAGGTGTAGGCAGGTTATTGAGTGATGGGTATCATAGGAATCAGGAATGAATGAAATGTTTTAATTTAGTTATTTGTGCTTGAATATAATTACAAATTTGATGATGAAGAAATCTGAATTCCTGCTCAGGTTCTTTCTCTTACATGTCTTTGGTGAATGATTTGGGATTTCTTGCATAGGTGTTGCCTGAATTCTACCTTGTTTTGCTAATAAGTTCTGGTGAGATTTTAGGGGCTTCGAAGGTGTATTGTTTCTTCAATGCACCCAGGGAATTGTTCATATTCCAATGTGATCAGTAGGTGACTTACTTTTTCTGGTCCTTTCCTGTTATCTCAGTACCTCCCAAAATCAGTTTCTGCTTTCTTTGGGTTTCTGCTGAAACTGATTTTGGGAGTCAGTTAGGTAAAGTGAAGTTATGTTAGTTACAAATATCTTTCAATTAACATAACCTGACCTAAACTAACTTTACCTAACTGCCTCTTAAAATCTGTTTCAGCAGAATACGGAAAAATGAAATTCACAGTTTCTGGTAGGTGAACAGAAAGTAGGTACTGAGATAACAGGAAAGTACCCTTTTTCTAATCTGGGAATTGTCTGACTTGAATTAATAAAGAGTTTTGTTGGATTTAAAATTATTTATATGTCAGGTTAGGTGTTGGGTTATAAATTTAGAATAAGCATTGACTTTCTTATTGAACCACCATTTTGTTTGCGCCTGCCGGGAATGATCAGTGGGTTCCTTGTGGAGATGAAATTATTTTGTCCATAGCTTGTGATTTTCATCTCTGTCATGTAGATGTCACTAATGTCATGTTGCGCTTAATCCAAGCTAGATAAAGATAATTGATACAGTATATTAAGTTCAATTTTGTATTTTTAAAATAATTCTGAGAGGGGAATGAAGTGGGTTTTTAGACATTTCCTCACATTTTGTTCCCTTTTTCAATTAAAAGAAGTCTTCTGAATTTAAAGAAATTTCTTTGAGGTTGTTGCTGTGTGGATCATGTTGGATCTTAGTTTTGCTATAGGTTTCATCAAGACTTCATGTGTCATTTTGATATTCCTATAGTTTGAGATTGATCTTTGCTGCATTTTATTAGTATTTATATCTTATAATGCTTAGAAATGCAAAAAATAGGACAAGAGCGACAGTCTTATGAATTAAAATCAGAATGCAACTTTTTCAGTATTTCTTTTTTCAAGTTCCATCTGTCCAAATTTTTCAGTGGGATTTTTTTTGGTTTGGCATGAATAATCATGAAATGAAATCAGAGTTGTGGCAGCTAAAATTTTCATTCACAAATTTTATCTTGCAAAGCGTCTCATGAAAACCGGCTTTTCAACTGTTGTGTTTTTTTACTTAGCTGTTTTACTAGATTTTGTGTTTGATGCTTTCGATACCGGAAGTTACTTCATGTAGTAGAATGATCATCAACTGGGATTCTCAAAAATTTCACTCGAAATTAATGCAAAATTCCTTACAAATTATATTTGACTGTGCCGACAGTTTACAAAAAGCATTGCATGACGCAATAAAAATTCAAGAACGAAATTCGATGATTGTTTATCATAAAAAAATCAATTCAGGCTTCGAAAAATCATGCAGTAATAATGCATATGAACTTTAAAAAATAAGATTGCATACTTGAATGACGCTTCAAATATTAAGAATCCCTGATTTTTTCGTGGTGAAATTTTGCAATTTTCAACATAATATGAAAATTCAAGAATATTTTGTTGGCACGTAAAAATGAATTTCTTTGCAATTCCCACGATGATGTTTGGTCAAATGTGATGATTCAAGTTATTGCTTTCAAATTGGCTTATGTTATATTTAATATTTATTGTGCTCTGCTAATTTTGTAATTTGAAATTGAAAACGTTTGGGAAAATCCCAGGTCCAAGTTTCAAACGTGAGAGGTAAAAAATTAAGCCTCAGTGAGACTTTACTAATGTTTAGCACAGTACTGTTGGACCTTTAAACTTGACAAGTTGAAAAATGTGAAGGACGGTACGCAAAATATTTTGCGATGCAAAATACCTTCTCTTAATGGATCTTGGCAGACGTTAAATGAATTCTTTCTTCTTCTTCTTCTTCTTGAATCATTAAACGCAACACTTTTGACAGCTATATAGTAGTAAAAATATCCCTCACTTTATTTTCGTTTATCTTTTACACATTGACGTTATCGTATTGGTTTTTAATTTTATTTCACCAGAATAGAACAGAAGACTTAATTGCTTATGTCAAAAGTTTGCCACTGATTGTCTCCTGGAATCTAAACTTAGAATTGGTATTTTTTTGTGCTTGAATATTTGGTCAGTATTTTTTCCTACTAGGTTTCATGTTCTCTCATAAAATATAGTTCAGAATGAATCTTTCAGCATTTTTGACACATTTTTTATGGAATTTTTGGGACCATTCACTTAATTTACTTCAAATTATGATTAACTTTAACTCTTAAAATAGCAATAAAAATAATGCTCAAACTGTCATTCTTTAATTATTTTTGGAGGCATCATTATTCTCTCAAGATTTAAAACACAATTGTGCATTTAAAGCACGAAGTGCTGAGTCGGCTTTTGTTGACAAACTCACTTTGCTAAGGTCAGGTCAGGTCAGGTCAGGTCAGGTCAAGTTCCGATCTTCAGTAAACATTTCTCGCTTACTTCATGATTCACCGTCATTCAAGGGTGTTTTTCCAGCAAACAGATATTTTTCGATTTATATGTTGATAATTTTAGAAAATCAAAAAAGTTAGCTATTATTGTGTGATTAGTGAAAAATCGCCGAATAAAAAAAAAAGCCAGCGGAGAGAAAAAGAGTGAAAGGGTTTTTTACTGTTCAATTAAATCCATTTATTTTATGTTATGCCTTATAAAACGCGGCTGATTTGATTAAGTGACTTGAGTGACGATAATTTCAAAAAGTTCATTTATTGTCTTGCCCATAAAAAAATGATGATCATTCTTGATATAATTTATCTGCTTCCAATGATGTACAATGATTTGAGGCAGTGGAATCCCATGCAAACTATTATTTATAAAATCTACATCTTCTTCCGAAGCAGAAAAAAAAATAAAATCTACAAATTGCTGGTTAATTTGATAAAATTTAAAGAATATTTCGTTCCACCGACTGAAATATTATTATTCACTGCATTTTTGCGTGATTTCATTGGGTCTAATGCCGAAAAAAATGAAATCTATTCTAAAATTTAGCGAAGCCTATGCATTATAACTGGATTGTTTCTGAAGTTTTTAGTTGGAGAAAATTTTGATGACTCATCTGGAAAAAAACAAATACTGGACTGAAGTGGTAGATACAGTATATCATTCCAGAAAAAATACTTTGGGCTTAAAAATTCGTGATGATGTTAAATTTGTAAGATTCAAACTCAGAAAACATGGTGTCTAAACTTCAGGGACTTCCAGAAAATTCTCAATTGCAAATTTATTGTATTTGAGAATTACATAATATTCAACATATATTTAAGCATATATTTACAGTATATGTTAAAAGGAACTTGTAAGAGTGATGAACAAAAATGTGTTTAATGATTGGAGACAATTAATGAATATGTGACTTAATTTCCTCTGTTGCCAGGTTAATGGGGGCAGTATTGCTGAAAAAGCTGGCTTACAAGCTGGAGATGGTGTATTAAAGGTGAACAATCAAGATACTGCTCATTTTCGCCACAAGGAGGCGCAAGATGCCATCATTCACACAGGAAACAACTTGGAGTTGTTGGTCCAAAGGTTTGCCAATTTTTTCTCATCTTTTTAGAGGATCATAAGTTTTGTCCCATGATTGTCTCTTTGCATTTCAGTGAATTTTTATGATTAGAAAATTATTAAATTTCCCTCTGCTGCACTTTGATCTCAAAGTTTGGATTCAACTGGACTTGGGATACTGATGTATTCAAAATGTCGCAAAAGTTGTCTTCAAAAAATTTTCTTTCATTTTTTTCATGGTATGATTCATGGCTATGAAGTTTTGTTTTCTCAAGATCAGATTTCCTCAAATATTTTTACTGTATGTGTCTTTAAATTTATATTTGAGTAAGGCTTCAAAAAGTCTTCAAAAGGCAGTCTTGCTTCAAAAGGCCATCAAGAAACAATCTCCAGGCATATTTGAAGAGAAAAGGTTGATGGACTTGATGCATTTGTTTTCAAAATAAAAATGAGCTCCTTTCCATCTACCAACAAAGTTAGCTCCAAAATGAAGCCCCAGGAAATGAACACTCAGCAAATTGGGCAAATGCTGAAAGATGGTTTCATCTTGGTTCATCCAACTGAGATACAATAATGTAAAATTTTTCATTTATTGCTATATATTTGGAGCTGTCAGCGCGTCATCAGGCGACATCTGTTCAACCCGTGACAATGATAATCTTGAACTAAAAGCAAAGTAAAATGGATGAAATGTTTGAATGTCAGTAATATTCAAATTTCAGAAATGAATTTTAATCTCACAAAGCAGACTCAAACCTGATGAAAACCAGTATGAAAGAAAAAGTATTTCATAGTTGACTGCTTGAGGAAAAAACACACTTAGCCCAGCAATATAGGAAAGGAGTTTTGATTTTAATTACATATGGGGTTTCTGAAATAGTGAATCATAACTAAACTCCTTCCCTCCCTCCACTCTTTTTTTTGATTGCAACTTCAATTGTACCCAATTAGGAGTGCAATGGAATTCCAGCTTAATCATTTATTATTTTTTTTCTAGGGGCAAGTCTAGAACTTGGCAGCCAAAGGTGACCCCAGTGGGTGATGCTCCAACTGTTCCCCAGCCAGTTGCAGCAGAACCCCAAATGGTCACTCAGACTTCCCTTAAACACCATCAGGACCAACAGGTGCTCATGTCATTCAATTATTATTTTTTCTGTGCAGTTATTAATTTTTTTATAGTTTTCACACATGTAGTAAACTGCTGTGGGCTATTTTTTCTGTGTATATAGGGATACCCACATGTACCAATCAAAATGCACAATGCACAACCAACACCATTCTCTCATCAGACTCCCATCCGACCAATTCAGGTGAAGACACTATCCTATAGAATTTTTTGATTTCCCCTTTTTCTTGTATCATGTCACATATTACATTTTTTTCATTTTTTAACCCTGTAGTACAGAAGTTGTTGTTGTTGTTGTCTTGCCTGGAAAAGTGATGCTTTATTTCTCACCTAGGTCAATGGAACTATGAAGGCAATAGTAAATAACCAGTACAACAGTCCTGTGGCACTTTACAGTGAAGAGAACATTGCTGAGACACTGTCTGCCCAGGCTGAGGTCCTTGCTGGTGGTGTGCTTGGGTGAGTTGTATTTTAAAATTTCAATACAGCATATGAAAAATAGCCCCCCCCCCCAAATATATTGAATAAACAAAATTACATCAATTGTAATTGTATATACTGTATTTTATACATGTAAACAGAGGCTTTGCTTTAATTTGGCCTGTGTGTGACTTTTAAAAATTTCACTTGGTGTGATTCATAGCTGTTGAACTTCTGCAAGTGAAATTTCAAGGGACTCCACTTTTGACTTGGGAATTTTTAAAATAAGGAAGTTTAATTTAGGGTAGGGTAATCAATGAGCACTATTTTCTGACCATATTTAAATTTCCGAATTATTCATTCAATCTGTACAAAGCCTTTACCTGTAGGAAGATGCCTATTATTCCTTTCAGGAGGGTATACCTTTCAATTTTTGCATTTTGTTGGAAGGGGTGTTCTAAAAGATAGCCCATAATTCATACAAAAATGGCCTTACAAATTTTAATAGAGTAGCTTTGAGAAAACAAATGTGAGCTGGAGAAGTTGAAATTACATTAGCATTCAGGGCATTGGTCAGGGGTAATCTGGAAACTTGAATTAAAGAGGTTCAATTGGGTAAAGTCTAGCTTTATTACCCTAAAGAATAATTATGTATTGAGCTGTTATAAAATTGTGATGATGAAATGTTCTGTTGCATTTTATTTTAATTAGTGTGAATTTCAAGAAAAATGAGAAGCCATACTCTGGAGACAATAGTGAGGTCCTCAAGATGGTGCAGCAGATGGACCAAGACCCAGGCAGTCCAGGAACTGTGGATCCAGCAGGTACCACTATTTCCCTTATTATTTTTTTAGAAATTAGATTCGTAGTCTTTGCAATAATTCTAGCCCCAGCATGACCATAATAGATTTTTCCCCACACATGTGTGAGTATCATTTGTTCAGAGGCCCTTTCAAAAGTCAAGAGCAAAAATTTCTCATTATCTTTAACCCATTGGAATACTCATGATAGTGTATGGTTTACCTTCCAACCATGGTTAGAAATGTGAACTAAATGATCCAAAAAATATATGCTGTGGGTTCCTGCTTTAAAAAAAATCTTAGCATAAGAAAACATTTGGATTACTATAATATTTTTCAAGACAGAAACTGACTTTCACTGAGAAGTTCTTTCATGTTGCAAAAGTATTGAGCTAAAACATTTTTGAATTTCAGCAAGTTATTCCTTAGAACTTTTGTCTTTTTTTTTGCCCTGGTGAGGCAAATATTGTGAAAGATGGCAAAAAACTGGTATTGTATAGTTCAAAAAGCTTGCAAAAGCCATTTTTTCTTTTTTGTCAAATTGAATAATTCTAGGGATTTTTGTATGTTCTTCATGTACAGTATGATCCCTTTGTTGATGAAAAGTTGAGTAATTTCTTTTTTAACTTGCTGTATTACTTATTATATTATGGGACAAGTGGAAATTTTTGTTTTTCCAGAAAAAAGAAAATATTTTTATTCAATTCCAAAGAGACATTTTTTGCATAACAGAATGCCTCCTGGAATAGAGTTATTTTTTTGGGGACTCACCTATTAAACTTGGTGTAGTTTTTGAAATTGTTTCCCTCAGGAGCTTCTTTTATCTTTTTTTGTGGAATGAGCTTTAAATTGCTTCTTATTTCTCAAAAAATTGAAAAGAAATTGGAAGCAAGGAAAATGCCATTTCTCTAGCTGTCCAAATGGTTGCTGCAGATCCTGTTGACCTTGTTGACCCTATAGACAGTTGTTATGATTAGTGGAAACTTGGGGTGTGACTAGAAGTGATTATGGCCACAGGCCTGCCACTGGGCACTGCTGGACTCAGGTCAGTTGTGCCACCACACCACCCAGTGCCATCATCACCACTACCTTCATCAGCACTGACATCATCATCATCAAAGGTGGATGCTGCGCCTGACCAGTCACACTGTTCTGACTGTGGGCGCCTGATTGTGTGAGTATGCATGAAAAAAGCATACATGGAGAGAATGACCCAGGCACCAGGGATGTATATGCTGATGGGGCTCCAAAATCCACTAACTTATTTTTTGCTGAGCTGAATAACTATATTTATATGGAGGCTAATCCTGTATTATTATTGTTTTGCTTACTCTGATTTCTCAACTACTTTTTTGTATTTTTCTCTTTTTTTCTGGTTTGGTCTTTTTTTTTGCCCTCTTCCCCATTTTTTGGTATGGGTGTATCATCATCATCATCATGGATTGCTAAGGCTACAAGTATTTGCCAATGTTGTCTCAGCGCTTTCCAAGTCACATTGAGCATCCTGCTCACATGCAGCCTCATCATCATCAGGCTGCTCCCATCAGTTCATCCACCATGTTGCCCCATGGAGCACCCATCATCCTGCGTGACCAGGCCTGTTTGGGCCAGCAGCAGGCCAATGTAGGCCATCATCAGGCCAGTATAGATCATTATCAGGCCAACATAGACCAGCAAAAGGCCCAAATGAGCCAGCATCAGGCCCAAATGAGCCATCATCAGGCAAATGTGGGCCATCATCAGGCCAATGTGGCCCATAATCAGGCCAATGTGGGCCACCATCAGGCCAACATAGATCATCATCAAGCCAGTGTGGGCCAGCATCACGCCAGTATGGGCCAGCATCAGGCCAATGTGAGCCCGCATCAGGGAAGTTTGGGCCAGCATCAGGCCAATGTGGGCCAGCAAGACCCCTGCAACTTGTGCGAGGGACCAATTGTGTAAGGGAACTCGCACTTATTGTCCTCTGTTTACCCTACCAAAAAGCAAGAAAAGAAATGAATGCATATTTGTCCCATATCCTCATGGCTGAAGAGCCCATCATTTGTCATCTTACAACAGAGAGACAACATCATATGCAAATGGCCCATCCCAACATTGATGCCAACATTATATATCTATGGGTGTCTGTTTGATTGTGTCAGTTTACATAGACTGTTCATCTCTGCTGATGTATAGTGAGAACAAGTCAGAATCAAAGCAGGGGTTCCTAACAAAGTTAACCAGAGCTTAATTGGGATTGCCATATATACCGTATTTACTCAAGTACCACACGCACCTTTTTTTCCCAAATTTCAGAAGAAAAAAAGGGGTGTACGTGATAAGCAGGTATAACATTTTCAAGAAGTTTTAGGAAGTTATGTGTGCATTATAATTGATTATAATGGAGATATTTTGAGCGAATGTAACAAGAAAACGCTTTCCTACTGAAAAAGTTGAAAATTGATGAGATTTTTGTTCAATTCATGCCTAAAGTCAATTTTTTGTTTTTATTTTCAAAATTTTGTGGTTTCAGATTCACTAAAAATTGGGGTGCGTGTCTTACGCGGGGATAAGATTTTAGCAAAATTTCCAATGCAAAAACCCCTCTGTGCGCCTTACTCAGGGGCGCGTGGTACTCAAATAAATATGGTACTAAAGTATCACATATGTCTTTGAGGAAGATGCTCACCCAGGTTTTTCAGTCAAAATTTTGTTTAAATTGTATCCCCAGCAAGTATAAGATGTGCACCTCATTTTTAGTGAATCTATGTAACTGCAATATTTTGAAAATAAGAGCACCCAACTTTGATTAATTCAATTTGAATTCATCTAATTTCCAATGGTTTCCATAAAAGTGGGTGTCTGATAAAATGGATTTAAATTTCCCATTAGAAAGGAGTATTCTGCACACAGTAAGGGCTGGAAAATATTTTTTTTTCAATGTATACTTACTTATGAAGTTCACCCCCTTTTTTCTTCTCAATTTTTTGGAAAATTGGTGGACATGGTACTTGAGTAAACATGGAAATTTTTAAATTCTAGACTTTTATAGGCCAGTATATATGAAGTGCCGAAGTACTGGATGGGTTAAGAACCCCTGATATATACATGAATACAAATGCGGATGAAGCACTGTATGGAGAATATAGGCAGAGTTCATTCTGGAGCTCTGTGTGAATTTGTCAACATGGTTCTTGTCCCACTGATGATGGTTACACTTTGTGTGTCCTTGATTGTGTCTGGGAGGATATTCTTATGTGTGTATGTGTGTGTTGCTTTTTCTGCATCTTGTCTGCTGGCTTTGCCATTATTGATGTAGAATCTTCTTTTTATGTGTGTACATTTGCATGCTTTCCTTCTGGGACCCATTTTTTTCAAGAGTTATACAGGCACTCTTTATATATTTGTACATATTGACATAATTCACAGTGTGCTTGAGATTTTTGGTTTGCTAAAATACTGGCATTCAAATTCTGATGATTCTTGGGAGAAGGAATCAGTCATTAAAAAATGGTGATGCATTTAGGATTGGATAAGCTCTCCAAAAATCACTAATTTTAAATTTTTGCAGTTACTTCATTTTATAAAACATTTGAAAATTTGGAGGAATGTAAGGTTTTGAAAATTGATAAGCTTCTGCTGTTTTGGAAAGTGTGGAGATAATCATGACTGATTCCTTTTACCTGAGATTCGCTGAGAAATTGACAAAAACTGATAGTATTTATTTGGTTGTGCAGGGGAGTTTTTGTGCGGGTTAAAGGCAGGAACCTTCATGTGGAGTGCTTCAAGTGTGCAACGTGTGGCAGTTCTTTGAAAAATGTTGGTACGTCACCAAATATGGAGAGGAATAATTTTTTTTTGAGTCACATCAAATTTGCACTGAAGGGAAGAGCCAAATCAGAGATGGTTTTTTTTTTTTGCAGGTTACTATAGCGTGAATGAGAAACTGTATTGCGATATTCATGCTAGGCAAGTAGCTTCGAAATTGGCTGGTGTGGACCCAGACCCTGCTCTTGCTGTGTCTGCTTCGTAAGTTTTTTTTTTCTTTTTCTTTTTGAAAACATGTTTTTGGTCAAAAATTTGAAACACGCATGTTGAGAATCCCCACAGTTTTTGGAATACTGTACATATATGCTCTCAAAAGTCAGCCGCCTTTCCTGCGATACTAGTGAAGAAACACTCTTGACCAATTTGGACAGGTTTCAAAGAGTTTATAAAAATGTTTTGTGGCAATACCTTTTTTATTTAAAGAATTTTGAAACTGGCTGTTCAATTCCTGAAAATAAGTTCGACTGTTTTGTTTGAACCCTTTGTGTTGTGCAGATGGATGCGTAAATTGTGTAGATATTTTCAAGCTCTGAGTTTCCTGATTTAAAATACTCAAAATTAGAGCCAAAGAAATATTTCAAATTTTGTATTGTGTTTGTTCTTTTAGACATTCTTTACTTGAGAATTTTTTTTTCCATTCACAAGTTTTTTTAAAGTTCTGAGAATTTTAGACGATTCATGTTTTGGAATTTGGAAGGGATCTGAAACTGTTTTTGGTTTCAAGGTTTTTTTTTAATTCAAAGGAAAAGAGCGCTTGGACTTTTGCAAAATTGTGGACTTTAATTAGAATCTTCTTGAATGAAAGTGAAGCTTTGAATTATTTTCTGCTTTTAATTTGCTCATGTGCACAATTGTGTGGTAAAATTTAGTTATAAGTCACAGCTTTCAAAGTTTAACATACTGGTATGACTCAAAGTATAAACTCACAGAAATTGAAATCAGCTAAATAGAAGTGAAGATGAATTGAACAAGTTTAAGAAGATTCAATCAACAGACCTCAATTTTATCAATATTCAAAGTGGTCAGTTTCAAAAATTTGTGTTTCAGAAACAAGTGAAGCTTTATATGTTGAATCAATCTTGTTCCATAAAGCAGATAATTCAAGTGCATTTCAAGCATGGGCCTTTGTAAGAAATTTATTGGACTGAAAGGGGTCTTGAATGAGGAATGTGTAGGAAAAAATAATGTTCAAAACTCATATATTAATCAGTGAAATTTTTAAGTATAATGCATTTTTGTGGCAATCAGTTTATTTGAGGTTCATTATAATTGCTTAATGCATTACTTATTGTCATGCAGCAACAAAAGTTCAATTCCAGATTTTATCAAGAGCTGTAACAAGATTTTTACATACTGTTCTTTAGTTTTGGAAGAGATGCTAACAATTTCTGGAATGCGCTCATTAGGAATCTTGAACATTCTTGTATTCTTGAATTTTATTAAAATTGTGTATTTTTATTCAGACCAATGGCTCCTGCTCCAGCTCCAGTGGCACCACCACCTGCCAAACCTGTGACACCAGCAGCAGCCACAAGCTTCTCACCACGTGCAGCTCCAAAGGCACCAATGCTGCCAACTTCAGTGCCAACACCTACAATTGGTGCTGTGCCAATCAGCAGGGCTCAGTATGGTGGTGCTGTGCCATTTGGAACCCCACATGCTTCCAAAGTAGGACCAGTGCCATTCCATGTGAGCTTTTTGTCCCTTTAAAATTTTTTTTCACTTGCTTTGCTGCTGATTTTTTTTGCACAATGGGTCCCTGTTTTACAAAAGACGCGTACAACAAAAAATTTGCTTTGGAATACTTTTTTATGTGAAGAAAGGGACTTGGATAACTGAAATTCTGCACAGAACAAAAATTTTTGGCAGAATGGCTTAAATTCATGAATTTTTGTCAAAAATATTATGATTCACGGGGAAAAAACCGTATGCGTGTCACTTTCCTTCAAAAGAAATAATTGTTGAGCAAAATATTAGTTGCAAGTGTCTTTTGTTATGCAGAGACCCAAAGGAGAAAAAAAGAAGGAAAAATCCAAGCATAAGTGGGACTATAATTTATATTGCTTGCTTTATGCAAACTTATCTTATTTTCAGTTCTGTAAGTTCAGCATGAAACTTTTCAGACTATGAACAATAATATCACATGCACAGTTACCTTCAAAGGAGAATCAGTGCTTTGCCATGTGATATTTGCTTTTGCCTTCATGTGCTGTACTGTCTGCAATCTTCTTGCTTCACTTTTCTTTGATGCTTCTAGTGGACCTTTCTGTAAATGTTTGTTTTTAGATTCAGCCAAAGGACAATTTTACATGGGAGCAGTGTTTTTATACTGTACTTTTTGCAATAAGTGACCATCAAAGAATGATATTGTAAAACTGCTATTGGTTGCCTCAAATTTCATTGCTAAAATTGGGATGATCAGCCAAGGTACTCCTTCATCAAAACTGTTTTCAACTCTATTCAAGGAGAGAGTTTGATTCAATTTTAGTCCAAGAATGGTATATTTATAGGAGATCTTGGGACACATAATGTATAATATGGAACTCCATTTCAAGACACTGTAATGATGAAGCTCTTGGCCCAACCATTTAATGTCCATAGTCCTTATCAGTGTGTGAGATGTCCTGCTTTCTCACTCCATCTCTGCTTCCATTCACGTTTTTTGCTTTTGATTAACTGCTGTTATAAGCACCATTTATGTCATATATGTATATATATCATCAGCCAAAGGAGGAAGAGGAAGAAAGAAATAAAAGCCTTATGGCATAGGTATAACTGACTCCATACACTGGGAACAATGTATGAAAGGACAAATAGGTGGAACCTGGTGTGTGTGTGTGTCCTCACTTCCTCAGGCAATGCGACCCATGAGCCATGTGCAGTACCCAGGACCACCTCAGGTACCATNATTAACCTCCAAGGGTACAAACAATTCTACATGCAATTTTTGCTGTGTTCCAGGGGAGTGGTTTCATGGAAGGGTGGAAAAACTATCTCTCCTGGGTGGATCCCATGGAGATTTTGAAACATTTGGGCCTCTATTGAGGCCTCTTTTGATTCAGGCTTCAATGGTGAATAACACAAACAAATTTCAAGTAATTTTTCCTAATTTTTCCACAAAAACCAAAAAAATTGTGTCAAAAAAAAGTTTGTTATAACGGAATTCCCAAGTTTGTTATAACGAGATTTTTTTAACATGTAGTCTATAGGCTTTCTGCTGGGACTTGAAAAAAAGTTTGTTGTATCAAAAAATTTGTTGTAACGGTATTTGTTGTAACGAGATTTTACTGTACTTACTTATGAAGTTCACCCCCTTTTTTCTTCGCAATTTTTTGGAAAATTGGTGGACATGGTACTTGAGTAAACATGGAAATTTTTTAATTCTGGACTTTTATAGGCCAGTATATATGAGGTGCCCAAGTACTGGATGGGTTAAGAACCCCTGATGTACAAATGCGGATGAAGCACTGTTATGGAGAATATAGGCAGAGTTCATTCTGGAGCTCTGTGTGAATTTGTCAACATGGTTCTTGTCCCACTGATGATGGCTACACTTTGTGTGTCCTTGATTGTGTCTGGGAGGACATTCTTATGTGTGTATGTGTGTGTTGCTTTTTCTGCATCTTGTCTGCTGGCTTTGCCATTATTGATGTAGAATCTTCTTTTTATGTGTGTACATCTGCATGCTTTCCTTCTGGGACCCATTTTTTCAAGAGTTATACAGGCACTCTTTATATATGTGTACATATTGACATAATTCACAGTGTGCTTGAGATTTTTGGTTTGCTAAAATACTGGCATTCAAAATCTGATGATTCTTGGGTGAAGGAATCAGTCATTTAAAAATGGTGATGCATTTAGGATTGGATAAACTCTCCAAAAATCACTAATTTTAAATTTTTGCAGTTACTTCATTTTATAAAACATTTGAAAATTTGGAGGAATGTAAGGTTTTGAAAATTGATAAGCTTCTGCTGTTTTGGAAAGTGTGGAGATAATTGTCCTTATCAGTGTGTGAGATGTCCTGCTTTCTCACTCCATCTCTGCTTCCATTCACGTTTTTTGCTTTTGATTAACTGCTGTTATAAGCACCATTTATGTCATATATGTATATATATCATCAGCCAAAGGAGGAAGAGGAAGAAAGAAATAAAAGCCTTATGGCATAGGTATAACTGACTCCATACACTGGGAACAATGTATGAAAGGACAAATAGGTGGAACCTGGTGTGTGTGTGTGTCCTCACTTCCTCAGGCAATGCGACCCATGAGCCATGTGCAGTACCCAGGACCACCTCAGGTACCATCATCATCATCATCAGCAGCAGCAGCTCATCAAGCCACACCAGCACCAGCACCACCACCAACAGCAGTAACTCATCAAGCTCCACCAGCAGTTGAACCCATCATCAGGAAGGCACCACCAAGTGCCACTATGCCATCTACTCCACCAGTTGGTGGAGTCCAGCTTTTCCCAACAGCTTTGCAGAACCAGGCTGCCTCTGTGATCACAGCTTGTTCCCAGCACCAGGTCCATGAGGTACTTGGGTGTGGCCCCCTCCTCAGTGTGGTACCCTTTTTTGGGGGGAGGGAAATCCAGGACCTGTATGTTACTTTATTTACTTGAGTACCTTGTGTTCCCCTGAGTGAACTGCCCAATGGAATTTACTAAAATTAAAAAGATGATGGTGAAACAGCAAAAAATGTAAATTTGTTGGCTGGCTTGACAAACTTCAAGCACCTTGTGACATGGGTGGAGAAATCTGATTTAACTGAAAAGTCTTCACTTATCATCATGCAGTGGAATGAAAAAAACTATTTTTAACATCCAGGAAAAATCCCAAAACCCTCAAACATCATGGGCTATGTCATGATTCATTTTTGCAAATACAACTACTTTGTATAAGAACTCGTCTGTCAGAGGTTGTGTCTAACTTATACAACCCTCATGTAATAAGTACAGTCAACCCCAACTAACGGACTTGATTTGTGCAAGGGACGAGTCTGTTAGACGAAAAGTCCTTTACACGAATTCAATTACATAAAAAATAAAAAATTTCTATTTTCAACACAAGTTTTAAACCAAAAGAAGTCTGTTCGGTGGATTTTGTCTATTGGGCGGGAGGAAAAACTGCTTGCAGAGCTGGTCTGTGTGGCAAAAATCCCTTACACGGGAGGTCTGTTAGGCAGGGGCCACTGTATACTGCAAAAAGTATAAGTATGGAACAAGACTAGATAAAACAATGAATTTATATTTCTCCCCTGTCATATGCCTGGTTTCAAATTTTAATCTACTGCAGAATTTTGGATATTCTATTTTCAATGGGACTTTTTGTGATTCAATATAAATGTGCACCCATAACTTATGGAAAATTTCGAAGGATTCCCATTTCTTCCATTTCTGTCATTGAAATTTCAAAAAGGTTGCATATGGTACTCAAGAAAATATGGCTAATATACAGTATATACATACATGTGTGTGTTTGTCTGTGTGTGTATTTTGTGAGAGGGGAAGAGAGAAAGAGAAAAGAAGGAATGTATAGAGAGAAAGAGAGAGAGAGAGACAGGACTGCTGTGTGGGAAAATTCATCAAGTATCACTTGAAGAAACCAAATACCCACCCACAAAAAAAATTTGAGGAAGCTGAGCTTTTGGGTGCAGCTAATTGTGCCTTTTCAGCAGAGCAGCAGCAGCAGTTGCAGCACCACCACCACCACCAACAACTTGAAGCCAAGGGATCTTGCAGATATTATGTGCCCACTGCAACCACTGTCAATCCCGGAACCACCAGCAGATGTGCCAAATGCTGAAAAGCCCATGTTTGGTGACCTGCTTATTGCAGAGCTCAAGTCCATGTCATTGGACGAGGTGGGCGCTTGCTGGTCCCCCCTTTGGAACCACAAACAAACAGAAAAAATCAAGCCAAGAGAGAGAGAGAGAAATACATTTGTCCAGCTGGTGTTCCAAAGCTGGTCCTATTTTTTTGTTTTGTTTTTTTTTTTGGATGGAAGTGGTTTTTGCTCCATAGGATATCACACACATGCACAGCACACAACTGCATCATCATCTTCATCACAGACACACAAAAGGCCTCCCAACTGACCACCATCTTGTCCTGCGGCTGCACAAGCTCTCTCATCTGTTTTGAGTTAGCTCAGTGCTCTTTGATCCAGCATATATATAGAGCTCTTTTTCTCTGACTCTCAAGAGCTGTCTTCCTGTTCCTTATTATTAGGGCTGCATTCACCAATTTTTCTTTTGGATTTGATTATTTTTTTTTGGGCAGATGCTTTGAAATCACCTTGTCCTTTTTTATAGCTCGCTGAGATTCTTTTTATTTTGAGGAATGAATTTTAATGTAAGGTGTTTTTTCTAGGGTGTCCAGTCATCACAGATCATGCAGGAGGTGAAGAGGATGGAGAGCTGCTCTTATTCTAGTCACACATCCACAACTTCAGGTATGAACAAAAAACTGTGGTATTTCAATATATTATTGGAGAATGATTTGATATTCAAAAATCAGACGCAAAGTCTCTGGCTTGAAGGAGCTTCAAGATGTGAAGAGTGTGTTTCCAATATTCTAAAGATTTAACTCTGTATTTTTTCAACTTTTCCTTTAAAATTGAGGGAAAAGTAGAACCATGAACTTTCAATGAAACCAATTATGCTTTCAATAAAAAATAAAAATGATGTATATATGTTGAAGTGAATGCAGGATTTGTGAGTCTTCTTGAGCTCAGAGAATTCAAATTATGCAATTAACAGTCTCCTGTAGAAGTTGAGATTCTTTGAAAAACTTTATATCATTTCAAGCTGTAAATTTGGCATTGATTTTGTTAATAAAGATTTTCCTGTAAGTGTATTACTGATTGTTTCCAAACCATGAATTCAATGTTCTGTATCCTGATGAAATATTTTTTCTGTGTCATTACTCATATGAGAACAATTTCTTATGCCAAATTTTTCTGTAGCCCATCTTTGATGTTTGTTGTACTAAGATTTCACTGTATACTGTATTTACTTGAGTACCACAAGCACCTTTTTTCCCAAATTTCAGAAGAATAAAAGGGGTGCGCGTCATAAGCGGGTACAACATTTTCAAGAAGTTTTAGGAAGTTATGTTTGCATTATACTTAATTATAATGGAGAAATTTGGAACAAATATAAGAAGAAAAGATTTTTGTACTGAAAAAGTTGAAAATTGAGCAGATTTTTGTTCAATTCATGCCTAAAGTCAAGTTTTTTGTTTTCATTTTAGAAATTTGATGGTTTTAGATTCACTAAAAATTGGGGTGCGCGTCTTACGTGATAAGATTTTTGCAAAATTTTCCACTGAAAAACCCCTGTGCACACCTTACTCAAGGGCGCATGGTACTCAAGTAATAAATACGGTATTTATAAATATATTTGCAGGTGGTGTGAACCAGGTCCCCAGCAAAGTGTTGTGGCCTCCACCAAGGGAAGATGAGGTCCACAACACTGGGCATCAAGTGGCATTTCCACCTACCCTAGAAGAAGCAGTGAGTCCTCTTCTCCAAAATTTCAAAATCAATGGGAACAAATCGCAATATTTTTCTGCCTTTTGAAGTATCTGACTAGTTTTAGTTATTTCTGAACTGGTAATGATTTTTTACTCTCAGGTCTTGCAAAAGAAGCCTCAGGAGAAGCCTATGGGCTCTGTGGCTCAGAGTTTTGCTAGAGCCCCTACAAACCAGGCTCCATCATCAGCAAGTGCGCCACCTGCTGGCGTTGGAAGCAAAGCTATGGGCCAGAAATGGACCCCAAGGAAGGGCAAAGGGGTGCTGACTCAGCCAACTGGCTCCAGGATCCCTGTTTGCCACACCTGTCATCAAACTATCAGGTACATTTACACACTTATACAAACAGTAAAATCAGAACACAACAAATTTTCAGGCATAACTAACTTTCAAGTCCTGGCAGTCAGCCCAAAGAATACACATTAAAGCAATCTTATTGTAACCAACTTATTCTCAATTCCAGTGCATCAAAGTTTTTGAGGTATGTTCCAAACATTATTCTTCCTGAATGGAGAGATTTTCACATCATCTGCCCATTTGTGCAAATGATGGAATGTATGATTAAAGCTAAAAGTGTATTCAGAAGATCACTCAGTCTTTCAAACAATATTGAAAAATCTTAGAATGCCAAAAAAGCAAGATCTAATTGATTACAGGCAGCTAGGTCTGATTTGAAATTTTAAAAGTCATTAATTTTGAAAATCTAGGTATAACAGATCATTCAGTAAAACAAACTTTTCCCAAGTCCCCAAAGTTTGTTTTAGCAAGATTTTTACCATGCAGTAGTCACTCCTTCCTGATTTTCAGCTGATTCCTTTTCTTATTTTTTTTAAATTTGAAATCGAATATGCCAAGAAGCCCAGCAGTAAAAGCTTTGTTCAAGACTTGATGTTAAATGTATTTTTCTGTGTGTGGCATTTTGCAGGGGTCCATTTGTGACAGCCTTGAACAAGACCTGGTGTCCAAAGGACTTTGTGTGTGCCATGCCCAATTGTGGATGCAACCTGCAGGAAATTGGCTTTGTGGAGGAACAGGATAATTTGGTTTGCGAAAATTGCTGGGGATCTTTTCTTGCCCCTGAGTGCGACAAGTGCCACTCTCGCATCAAAGCGGTAATATTTCATCCCTGATTTTAAATCAGAAAATTTCCAGCTACAGTTATTTTAAATTAGAAAACAGTATATGGATTCTTAGTTGGTGGACATTAAAACCTGTGTCAAACATTAGTTGTATGCCTAAATTCAATCCTATTTGAAAAAATGTTGCACAGTTTTGTTCATGAATGATTCTTATTTTGTTTTGCTTTGAAACATTTGAGTGGCATTTATAGGAAATATAATCACAAGCATGAGCAGATTTTTAAATAGCACCTTTTAAAGATCCTTTCCAAGTTGGTAATCAACAAAAAAGTGAAATTTCTATCATAAACATGATCAGCATTTGATCAGAATTGTTGTCAGAACCATAACCTGGCAAAAAAAGCCACTATTTGAAAATCCATTCCTCTTGAACAGTGCAGATTTTCTTCCCTGTCAACACTTCTGCCATTTGTTCATGTGCAAATAATCTCTTTGCAGGAGTGTATGAAGGCCATTGGCAAGTTCTATCACCCAGCTTGCTTTTCATGTGCATATTGCAAGGCTCCATTTGGTGCTGATTTCTTCTACCTGGAGGATGGGCTTCCCTATTGTGAAGCTGGTGGGATTTTATTTTTTCATTTTAAAAAAAAAGCAATAGATTTTCACCTAAAATTGAAAAAAATTGTATTGGTTGGTGATAATTATTTATGCATTATAATTACTATGTATAAAAATTAAATCTGTCTGAAGATTTTATCTGAGTGAAAATAATATCTGCATTAAAATCATACCTGTATGAAAATTGTTTGTCAAAATTACAGTAAAGTACATTCAAATGAACAGTATTTCTGAATGAAAATTATATCTGCTTGAAAATGTTATCTGTTTAAAAGTTAAATTTGTATGAAAATCATGTCTGTTTGAAAAATTATGTCTGAATCAAAATATCTTCCTTTTTAATTATTTTATTGAAAATTATTTATGGATGAAAGCTATTTGAGACTGAAAATTATTCTTGATCAGATCTATTTATGATTTAAAATTATCCATAATAATTTGTAATTATTATTATTCATGCTTAAACCTTGATCATCAGTGCCAAAATGGATTTATTTTTGCAGATTGGAATGAGCTGTTCACAACCAAGTGCTTTGGATGCGGGTTCCCAATTGGTGCTGGGGACCATTGGGTTGAGGCCCTCAACAACAGTTACCACACCCAATGCTTCAAGTGCTCTGTAAGCATTCATTTCTCACACTTTCCACATACTTTCATTGATGCCACTCATACTGATATATATACTCACAATGTTGAAAACACGCTAAGAGAGAACAGAACAAATGCAAAATTGCATCATCATTGCATTTTTGCTCATGTAATGCTTTGCTTTTGCTTGCTTGAGCCAAACTTTTCAAGATTCTCTCTCCTGATTTTTTTTTTCAAAATTGAGCGAATTTGAAATTGATTGAATGCTGGGAAGAGGAATTTTATTGATAGTAGAAATATTATTTGAGTAACAAGTACCAAAACAGCTTTGTTATTGGTATGAAAAACAGTCTTTCTTATTTTGGCATGATTGTATTTCTGTCTTTTTCTCTATTCTAGCTCTTTCTAATGTATTCCCCTGCAAGTGTTTGTAACATTTATCTTCTAACAGAAGTATGTATGAGGCAACTGCTGATGACCAATGCGAAAATTAAAATTCATTGGCAAATTCTGAATCATTGATGTTTAGATTTGCAGAAATTGTTGCAGAAAATGATGCTGTACAAGAATTCTCCTTTTGGGATTGAATATTGAAAACTGAAGAATCTGAATTGATTTAATCTAAGTCAACCTAGATTAAATGAAACATGCAGATATACTTACATTGACTCACAAGCATACAAGGAAAACACTTTTACATTGCTCACCCTAGTCTTTTTAAAATTTTTGACCTGTTTTGTCAGTGTCAAAAATATTTGGGTGGACCAGGAAGAATAAGAATAATTATGGAACAATTTTGTTCCAAAAATTGACTTTCAAAATTTAAATTTTATTTTTGGAGATTCCAAAGCTTTTGAGGTATTGGAATTTGAATTGAAGTGTTTGGCTTCAATTATCCTCCTTTGACAAATACTATAATGCGTATATTATACAGTATATGTTTTTCAATAGCCATAATAATCACAATAAAAAAATTCAAACACATACAGTTAAATAAAAATGTAAAATTGTAGAATACATTATATTGAAGGGTATCCCGGGCTACTCTGTATATTCTATAATCAATCTTCAACAGTACAAGAAATTTTATCTGTGGCTGCGGTACTTTTTGGTGTGAAACCGTAATATTTAATTTGAAGTTTCTTTTGGGTATGATTATTTCCATTTCTTCAATTCTTTTTGGTGATTTGGCCTATTTATTCTTCAGAGCGCTTCAAGTCTTATTCATTTTTCTAGGATTTGAATTGGTGCAAGAGGGTTTTATGCTGGTGAGATGGTTCAAGTGTTGGAGGAATTTATTTTTTATTATGCATTTGAAATATTGGAGTGGATGTTCCATTCAAATAGGATAGTTCTAAATTTTTATGAAAACTCTCAAATCTGATTTCTTTTTTTTTTCTTTTTTTTTACAGTTCGGCCACTTTTCTCCCAAACTTTCAAATGGAATTTTTTATAGATGCTACATTTCTTGGTGGAGGCTAATTTAAATGCGTGAAAAATAACTTTTTGAAATTATGAAATTAGGATATGGTAGAACCTTAAAAGGTTCCATTCAAATATGATTTTTCTGCTTTTAAATTCCTCTCAACACTCATTCACAGCTGAAATACTTTTCTTTACAATATTCGAATGATTATTTTCAATGCTATGATTTTATTATTATTGTATCATTTTTATTTATTTAGTAATATTATTTTCAATGGACGGAGCTGTATCTATAAAAACATTTTTCTAAACATTTAAAACTGTGATATTGGATGAACAATTTTTCTTGGTGATTGTCCTAATTTTTCCAATTTCTTCTATAATTTGATATAATTTTAATTTTGTAACTAATTCTATGTCTAAATTCCTCTAAAAGTTTTATTTACAGCTGAACCACTCATCTTGCAAATTTTGAAATGAATTTTCTTTTGACCCTATATTTCAAAGAGGGAACTGATTCAAAGTGTGTTAAAATTGTTTCTTTAACATGTGAAACTGTGATATTTGGTTTTGAATCATTTTCAAATTATTCTTATTTTACCAATGTTTCAAGATTGATTTCTTGTGATAATTTATTTTTATAATTCATCAATATGGACCTGGAGTTTCTGGATTAGTTTTTTTTAGTATATTTTTGGTTAATATAGAGAAGTCTTTATATGTTAATGAGCTGATATAATTATGGTGGTGGGTGTGCATTGTTCAACAGCTGTGCTCAGCCAGTCTGGAGGGCAAGGGTTTCTTTGCCAGGGCTGGACGCCCAGTGTGCAAGAACCATGGAGTGTCAGCACCCAAAATCCATTGAGTCCAGCCTCCTTCTCTACTAAGCTGCCACTATTGCAGGGTGACTCTCTTGTCTCTGTCTCCCATTTTTATTTTTATTTCATTTCCCTTTTTCTTCTATATCAGCAGCTCTTCTTCTTGTTTATTTTTTCTTTTATTTTTTTCTTTCCTATGTGCAGGATTTCATCTCTTTTTTTTTATTTCTCCCTGTGTGCTGGTCATTATACAGTGCCCCCCCCCCGCCTAACAGACCTCCCGTGTAAGGGATTTTTGCCAAACAGACCAGCTCTGCAAGCAGTTTTTCCTCCCGCCCAACAGACAAAATCCACCAAACAGACTTCTTTTGGGTTAAAATTATTTTTGAAAATTGAAATTTTTAATTTTTTATGTAATTGAATTCATGTAAAGGACTTTTTGTCTAACAGACTCATCCCTTGCACGAATCAAGTCTGTTAGATGGGGGTTGACTGTATATACACATGCAGTACCTGTTTATTTGACCCTGGCAAGTCTGTTGGATTTTCTGTTTACTGTACTGCCTTGCTGTCAATCTATTTTAGTTCAGAGGGTTTGTATATAGGGATGAGTTTGGAGTTTTTTTTGTATTTTGTGTGTTGTGTGTGTGTGTGTGTGTCTGTCTCTCATACAGACCTTCTGTGATTCTTTGCAGAATTCATACAGAATGCATGTGAATGAAGTTTTTCTCTATGGGTTTTCACAGCACTCAACTGTTTTCAGGGTGGCTTTGTCACTCAAACATTGCATTTTCAAGAAAAATGATCATTTTAGAAGATATTCTGAAAAGCCCCTCAGGCTTGAGAACTTGATTGGACTCTTTTTGAAGTCAATAATTTTTTTGTTTATCTTTGTAAGTTTTATGTGTATTTAAAAGAAGAAGTGAGTGAGAATCAAAAAAGTGAAAGCAGAAGTGTTTTGTTTGCTGGTGCAAGTTCTTTGGCGTGTTTTGTTCCTACTTACCCCCCCCCCCCCCCGGTTTTAAGTGTTTTTAAACTTTTGAATGTAATAATGCTGTTTTGCTTTTATTTTAGGTTTTTGGGGCAACTGTTTATTATCTCGGGGCTTCCGTGCCCCCCCCCCCGGTTTTAAGTGTTTTTAAACTTTTGAATGTAATAATGCTGTTTTGCTTTTATTTTTCCATTGTATATACAGCAACTTTATTTTGGAGAAAATTTCATAAAAAAATTTCGATTTAATTTTGTGATACATTTTTTGGACTTTTGAATGAAAATCCTGTTTCAGTTTTCAGACATTGAGAAAAGAGTTCAGCATATTTCTGAATGTTTCCGAGATTGCAGAAGGTTATTTGATTCATGTATATATGGTCATTACTTTGGTTTGACTGCATTCATTTCAATGTGCAGAAATCATCTCCAGCAAAGAGGGATTACTCTTTTTAAATTTAGATGAGGAGTGGATGAGTGTATGTTTTGAAATATGAATGCAATGGGTCCCTGCATGACATACATGCTTTAGTGAAAAGGTGGACAAAAATCTTCTGGGTGTACTTATAACATTTTGCAAACAAATTGTCCACTTTTTCTGAAGCAAAGCAAACGTTTTATTTTAAAAAAAAGGCAGGTAGGATTTCTGTAGACAAGCCATTTTTTCAATTATAGGAATTTAAGAGCTAAAAATTGTCTGGGTATAAAGTCAAATTTTTTCTTGAAAATTCAAATTTTTTTGGCAGAAGCCATGGAAGAGCCCCTTTGCCAATAATAGCCACTGACCCATAACCCTGAATAAAGCATATATTAGCAAGCATCTACAGTTTATAAACTTGTGAAATACTCGGGTTTTTGAGTACAGTATTTAAAAAGAAAATTTTGCATTTCTGGAAATGATTGAAATTTTTTAGATCATAACTCAGCCTCCCTAAGTCAAATTTCCTGTGAATCTTTGGCCAATTTTCTGATACCAATGTGTACTATAACCTCCATGAATCAAAACTCATTGGCTCTAATGTTCCTTACAGAAATTTTAGATTGCTTTTGTGCTATAAGGCATGAA